GATGTGTGTGTGTGTGTGTGTGTGTGTGTGTGTGTGTCTACAATGACCGCAACCCGGAGGTTTATCTGCCTCGAGTTTGAGCGGACGAGCTGAGAGCCGAGTTGTTGTAAAGAGCAGATGTTTTTGAGGTCACTTTGCTTCTCGGCCCGCCTCCCCTGCAAGTGTTGACACTTGTGGGCAGGAGTCGCACTTAATGAGGGAATCATGATTTGTGGGTTGCGGGCCCTTTAGGAAACAAGGAAACGAGTGCTGTTCACATCCTCGAGCGCCGATGATTAGCTGCGATACGCCGGTTCCCCAGCGGCTGACCGGTTGAAGGGTTTGTGCAGCGAGGTTTTTAACTTTTATCCACACACGTCCGCCATCTTTTTATTTTAGGTGCGTGTGTGTTTGTTCATCCCTCCACCTGCCCGCTGCACACAGCAGTTCAAATATTCCCATGTGTGGTCGCCACCAGTCTGGTTCCCAGCAGGGTCACTTTCAACATTCCTGCACTGCCCGGCCAATGAGGACACACCTATGATGTCATTTCCTGCTCTAAGTGCTCCTGGGCCCTAATCCCAATGTGCCCCCGAAGGCCTTAAACCCTGAACCCTCAGGGACTTAACTTCAGTGCCCTGGTAAATGTTTAAGGCCTTAGGGGGCACATCAGGACCTCTTTCCTTCATGGCTAACAGGAATCTTTTAAGTTCAGCAGACGGTATCTCAAACATGACTCAGGTTAGTCTTGATCTGATACCTCTGAGCGTTCCCTCCTGAAACTTTCGGTGCTTCCCAGAGCTTAAGAATACACGCTGATGAATTACGGTTGATGCACCCGGCGGCACGCGATGCTCCGACAGCTGCACGCCGCCCCCCCCAACTTTAATCTTGTGTCATTTCTTACGCTTCATCGGCATTAACAAAACGCGCTCAGAGGAGCGCCGTGTAAAGAAGAAGTCGTCATTTGTCAGTTGTAAGTGTTATCTCGACACGTGTAAAACCCAACGACTTAATGCCTCACGGAGGCTTGAAGGGCCCTGGTTTCTACGTGATTGGTGGATGCTGAGACAGGAGTAAACATGCACCACAATCTGTAGCTCCTCTGATGACCCACTGTGTGTGTAATGAGCCACAGCAGCAACTCAGTGAATACAGTCGACTTCTGCGTCATTGTGCTTCTGCTGCCATCTGCTGGTGAACAGGAGAAACATTCCCTTTTTACGTATTATATCATGTTAAACTCACATACTGTACATCTAAGTGTCTACAACCCACAAACTGTGAAATCAAAAAACAAGTGATTCAACAAGCCAATCAGATTAATCTTCACTTCCTGAATCATATTCAGACTAATTTGAAAATACTGCAGTCTGCTTTAAAACGACCTTTTCAAAGGTGCAACATATTTTTTATCTCAAGCCAATCGGTCTTAAAGAGACAGGCGCTGAAATGAAATTGGACTGAATGTGAATACATTTATATTCAGAACTTTAAAGCATGTAAAGCTGCATTCTCTCTAGTGTCCACCAGGGGGCGACTCCTCTGGTTGTATAGAAGTCTATGAGAAAATGACTCTACTTCTCTCTTGATTTATTACCTCAGTAAACATTGTAAACATGAGTTTATGGTCTCAATCTCTAGTTTCAAGTCTTCTTCAATACAGCATGATGTTCATTTAGTACATTATGGTCCATTTAGAGTCAAACAGACCATAAAGCGGGGGATGCAATGTTCGAAACAATGAAACAGGTGTAAACACTGAACCTTTCATGCTCATTACATCTGGAACAGCAGCAACTCTCACTTCTTCTAAATCAAAGCTTTTCTGTTTGTCTTGTTCTCTTATTCTCATTCAATCTTAGCTTGCTTTTATTAACTGTTCTCTTGGATTTGTATGACTTTTTAAATTACATTCAAATGTCATTTTATAATAAGTTTATTTTGCAGTTTGTCTTTTACATAAACAACAACAATTCAAGTATTAGAATAAAGTCTATTTGTATAGTGTGTATATATATATATATATGTGTATATATATATATATATATATATATAATGTATTTATTGCTGTTATTGATTTTTGTTTTGTTGTTTTTCTTGCCTGACAACCAATTGAAACCCACGTACATGCATACATGAACATCCATATGCACACATACTTTGTTGTTTTTTAATTATTATTATTTTTTTTTCTCCCATCTCAAAAGGCTCAAGGACATTCTCACACACACACACACACACACACACACACACACTGACTATATGATGTTTGCTAGCTTTTATCCCACTGTTGTCATCCTCTTGTTGTTATGTCTATGTATTGTCTAATATTGTCTCCTGTCTAAAGAATAAAGTCTTATATTCTAATTAAGGTATTATAATGTGCCCCTATTCAGACTGAGTTTTATTGTAGTTAATGTGCCTTTATTCTTATAATAATAATAATTATTTTTTCTGCTGCATGTTTTTCAAAACTAATGTCTGATTCGCAAATCTGTTCTTTGCCACATTGCTTTAATAGTTGATGATTTTTAAAGCGTCAGAGTTGCTCTGTTTGAGCCGTTTATCAGTTATTTTTAATAAAAACCTTCCTGACGGTGTTCGGAGAGGAGAGGTTGGCGGAGTAAAATCTCCGTCACTGTTCGAGATAAATGTTTCACAGATTGAAGACATCACTGATCCGCGTCTTCTTAATGGAAATGTGGCGCGCAAACGAGGCGCGCGTGTTACCGTCGTTGGACAGACATCTGACCCGCGTGAATTATGAATGAATACAACATGCAGAAGAATCTCTCGTCGGTGAACTCCTCGTCCTGGAAAGCGGAGTCGGTGGTCATTTCTCTGGGCTTCTCGGTTATCTTCCTGGTCGGCACCGCGCGGAACTCTCTGGTGCTCGCGGTTCTGTTCCGTAACGGACAGATGAACACCAAAACCACCAACCTGTTCATCCTCAACCTCGGCATAGCGGACCTGAGCTTCATCGTGTTCTGCGTGCCCCTTCAGGCCACCATCTACACTCTGGATGAGTGGGTGTTCGGTCCCGTGGTGTGTAAAGTCGTGCACTTCATCATTTTTCTCACCATGTACGCGAGCATCTTCACGCTGACAGCTGTTTCCTTGGACAGGTGCGTCATCCACATTCTATAAAGTTTATTATTACATAATCTGCACGATCAGCAGCAACAAGAGATGTTCTTAATGTGAGTTTAGATGGGAATTATTGGAAATATTAACAAAACCTTTATTGAATTGTTATTACATTTATACCAACAGGGTCGTTAATGAATGGGCTCTGGATGGATGGATGGATGCAGAAGTACATAAAAAGATTGATGTATAGATGCATGGATGGGTGGATGGTTGGATGGGTGAGTGGATGGTTGGATGTTGGATGGATGGGTGGGTGGATGGTTGGATGGATGGGTGGAGGGATGGGTGGATGGATGGATGGATGGGTGGATGGGTGGAGGGATGGGTGGATGGATGGGTGGGTGGATGGTTGGATGGATGGGTGGATGGGTGGAGGGATGGGTGGATGGATGGGTGGGTGGATGGTTGGATGGATGGGTGGATGGATGGATGGATGGGTGGATGGGTGGATGGATGGATGGGTGGATGGATGGGTGGGTGGATGGTTGGATGGATGGGTGGAGGGATGGGTGGATGGATGGGTGGAATGTTTTAGTTCCCGCTCCACTTGTTAAAAGAGCAGTTTTTGCTCAACACTTCAAGTTCCTTCAATTTTTCCACGTTTATTTTGCATAACAAATCAGTGATATCTAGATTAAATATAACCTTATCATCACAGACTGCAGCTCTCTGATCTGCCAGTAACGAACATCTGGATCTCTTACAGGTATTTAGCCATTTGCTGCCCGCTCCGCTCCCGAGAGACGAGAACAGTGAAGAACGCCCTCACCTGCATCGTCCTGGTTTGGGCCCTGGCTCTGGTCTTCTCGTGGCCGTATCTCAGCTACTACTCCCAGATGGACCTGTCCGGCACCGTGGTGTGCATTCCTTCCTGGGAGACCAAACCACGCATCATCATGGACATGTGCACCTTCATCTTTGGCTACGTCGTCCCCGTCCTGGTGCTCGGCCTCACCTACGCTCGCACTGTCCGATACCTGTGGACCAGTGTGGACCCCGTGAAGGACATGTCCGAGTCGAGGCGGTCCAAGTGGAGAGTCACCAAGATGATCGTTATGGTCGCTGCTCTCTTCTGCCTTTGCTGGCTCCCCCGTCACCTGGTCGTCCTCTGCATGTGGTTCGGACGTTTCCCCCTCAACCACGCCACCTACGTCCTCCGCATCCTCTCCCACATGGTGGCTTACACCAACTCCTGCCTCAACCCCATCGTCTACGCGCTAGTCTCCAAGCACATCCGCAAAGGCTTCAGGAAGGTGTTCAGCTGCTCGCCGGGGACCAGGGAGGACAACAAGGTGCACGTCATCCAGGTGGTGAACACGGTCAGCAGCGCAGAGACGTCCAACTAAGGACGACGTCGGCCTCGAAACCAAGTTGATGGAGGAGAGGACGAGCCGAATGAACATTATGGACCTTGATCGAACCCAGAAACTTTCTCTGACATAATGTCCCAAAAGTATTAATTTCTCCAGAATCAAAAGCATCAGAATATGGAGTAGACTTGTCTGCAAGGAAAGACGGTAATGAGACAAAAGCGGCAAACGATGAATACCTCCGAACTGAATTATTGACCAGCCATTAAAGAAGAAATTGATGAACTGAGGAAAACCTTTACTGACTGAAGAACAAACGCTGTAATTGACCCATTGAAGGTCTAATGTTAAATGCCGTTAATTTACTTATTTACACATACAAGTGAGCA